AGAATTTGATTCATATATATATCCAGTCAGGCAAGCCTTGCCAGAAAGTACTGACTATTATACAATACTTGTAGCAGGAATAAAACTCTATTATTTTTGACATTGAGAAGTCCCTAGTAGCTCAGTGGTACGAGCAGTCGGCTGTTAACCGAACGGTCGTAGGTTCAATCCCTACCTGGGGAGGGATTCTTTAAGGAGGGTCGTGAGATTTGTCGCCACCCGAGACAAATCAACGTATTACCTAAATTGTACAAGTGTCTCATGCCCAATTCAATCCCCGTCCTACATACAGGCAGTAGACAGGGGCTTTCCCTGACTGCAGCTATGCTTTTTCTTCTAGCAGGCTTCTTTCAAGCAACAACTCTATCGACCGTGCTAGGTCAAACAGGGGACTGGGACGTTTTGGCATCTGCGGGCCTTGTAGCACTTACGGAACTTGCGGGGGTCTGTCTTTACAAGTCGTCTTTCCACCTTTTCTTTAAAAAGGCAAAAATCGTATTCGTCTTAGTTAGAAGAATCAAGTTGCCTCTCTCTATTCAGAGCCCTGCGCCTGGTTGGGCTGCGAAGGCAGCGAACATGTGGAAGATTGGACTTGTGTATGGCCTCTTTGTAGATGGGTTCAAATTGGGTAGCTAAAAAAGCCCCCGCCTTCCTTTAAAAAAGAAAAGAAGGCGGTGAGGGCCCCTGTCCAATTGAACGCGTTAGACACAGCGAGCGGGCTTGTAGCTCAGTGGACTAGAGCATATGGCTACGAACCATAGTGTCGGGGGTTCGAATCCCTCCTTGCCCAAAGTCAATAATAACTACAAACCATAATGCCAAGGGTTCGAATCCGTTTTTACCCAAAATCTTAACTTTATAATGACAAAATTATTATAGTGAAGACTTTATTGTTTCATTTAGCATTTCATTATAAAAATGATTTGAATGAGTAATATTTTTAGTATTCAATATGCGTAATTGAACGCTTGTGTTTCATTTCAAAAAGGCTTCAAAAGCAAAGCATTGATGATCGGTTTATATAGAATAGAACCGTCAAGCTTGAAAGAAAAAATAAAAGATAAAATAATGAGAGCAAATTGTCGCGAATAGTAGGATCAGCTATAAAAAGAATGATTTTCTACTTTGCAAGAGTTGCAAACGCCCACCTCAGTAGATGGGCAGTTTTTTTCTTATGCTAGTCAAGCAGTTCGGAGACCACGCCTGCACCGACGGTGCGCCCTCCCTCTCGGATTGCAAACCTCATCTGCTTTTCGATTGCAATCGGTTGGATAAGCTCGACATGCATCTTGATCCTGTCTCCTGGCATGACCATGCGCGTAGATTCGCCAGAGTCATTCCAGCAAGACTCGATGTTTCCAGTGACATCTGTAGTCCGAACATAGAATTGTGGACGGTATCCCTTAAAGAAAGGTGAATGTCGTCCTCCTTCTTCTTTTTTAAGGATGTAGACCTGTGCTTCGAACTTTGTGTGGGGCTTGATGGATCCTGGTTTGGCGATTACCATTCCTCTCTCGATATCCTGCTTTTGTATACCCCTTAAGAGCATTCCTACATTATCCCCAGCGAGGCTCTGTTCCAGAGTCTTTTGAAACATCTCCAGCCCTGTAACGGTACTTGTCCGAGTGTCTCTCAGGCCCACCACCTCTACGGTATCTCCAACTCGGATAGATCCTCTCTCAACACGACCTGTTGCAACTGTCCCCCGTCCTGTAATGGAAAAAACATCTTCAACGGCCATAAGAAAAGGCTTGTCTGTGTCGCGGGTGGGTGTAGGGATGTGCTCGTCCACTTGGTCCATAAGTTCAAAGATCTTGTCCACCCATTTGTTTGTTCCCCTTGAGATACTAGCATTTTCTGCACTCAATGCTTCCAGAGCTAGAAGGGCCGAGCCGGAAACCACCGGCACGTCGTCCCCGGGGAACTCGTAGTAACTGAGGGTCTCGCGTACCTCCATCTCGACGAGCAGAAGAAGCTCTTCGTCGTCTACTTGGTCCTCTTTGTTTAAGAATACGACCACAGTCGGTACCCCAACCTGCTTAGCAAGCAAGATGTGCTCCTTAGTTTGGGGCATAGGCCCGTCAGCCCCCGAGACGACGAGAATAGCACCGTCCATCTGTGCTGCTCCTGTGATCATGTTCTTTACATAGTCTGCGTGTCCAGGACAGTCAACGTGGGCATAGTGCCTGTTCTCTGTTTCATATTCTACGTGGGCGGTATTAATGGTAATGCCCCGTGCCCTCTCTTCGGGCGCAGCATCAATTTCATCATACTTTTTAGGCGTAAGACCGCTGTTGGCAGCAAGCGTCATTGTAATTGCTGCAGTAAGGGTGGTCTTTCCATGATCTACATGACCAATTGTGCCAATGTTTACATGAGGCTTCTTACGCTCAAATTTTTCTCTTGCCATGTGAACTCTCCCATCATTGGGTAGCTTATCTTGGGTACAGGTCTCAGTCCTTGTCCCTGGGAGCCCATTGCCTAAGCACGATGCCAACAAGCTTTTATCCCATATCCTCTTTCCTTGTGGACCAGATAGGGAGGGCAATTGCAAATCGACTCAGGCTGAACTGCCTAGGGTCTGCCGCCACTCGGACTCGAACCGAGATGCTCGCGCACTGCCTCCTAAGGGCAGCGTGTCTACCATTTCACCATAGCGGCTTGTTTATGCAGTATAGTAGCATACTATGCGTATCTGTACAAGGGGGCAATGGGAGGCTGCTAGCCCCCCTCCTTGTGGCCTTGCTCCAGGAAGGGAGCGCCTAGTGCCCCTCGGAGCAGCGGGATTCGAACCCACGGCCTCCATCACCCCAAGATGGCACGCTACCAAGCTGCGCTATGCTCCGTGCTTGGACAGCTCTATTGTACACTGGCAGATGGCTGAGCTTGGAAGCTTAGGCTGGAACTTGCAGTTGTTGCCCATGTGCCTCGATGCTATCCACTAGCAATCGGGTGAATCTACGACGATGGCCCTGCTTACGACGGCTTTTTTTCTTTGCCCTTCTTCGCAACACAACTTGTTTCTCTGCTTTCAGGGTATGCATTACCCTTGCCCTGACAAGGGCGCCCCCTACCCAAGGCCTCCCAACTCCAATCTCCGATTGGTTCCGCACCATAAGCACTCGACACAACACCACTTTGGTGCCTGGCATCAGAGAGGGCATACAGGGTACGTCGTAGAACCTACCAGGCTCCATCCGAAGTTGCTGACCCCCTGTCTCGACAATTGCATATACCATAGACTTCACGCAATCCACTGTGTCTAGTCAAGAGGGATGCATAATAAGCAGGCGAGCAAGAGCTAAGCCTATCCCGCAGTGTAAGTGTCGATGGGCACAAAGGTCAAGCACCCCGGCCCGAATCATAGAATAAGGTATGAAATGAAGTCAGAACAAAGTTGATCTTTTTTGATAAGTAAAACGAAAGAGTTGCCCCTGACCCTCTTTTATGGTATGCTAGATTTAATGTATGTACAATTTGAGAAAAATGGCCAGCAAAAGGTATAATAAACAAGGATAGCACACCAAATACTCAAACCATTTTTTTCGTCGTGCGGCAGACCTAAGCCCAAGCTTTCTTATTTGGTTCCAATTCTTCCACTTGCCTTTCCTTTCAATAGGCATGGTGTTTTGAAGACATCTTAGATATGCTTCTGGTAGTAAGATAAGAGATGAGAAAAAGTACATATACGAACAATTGCAAGCCCCTAAAAAAAGAAGCCAGATCCTGATGAAAAGGGATAGGGGTAAACCCAAAACCTAATACTCTTTCTAGAGAAAGAAAGGGCCTGGTCCTTGGTGTGGGCTTGCGCAGAGGAGGCTTATGAACGAATGGCTTTATGAATCCGCCTGGCTTGTCGCAATCCTGCCATACTTTGCCTCTCTGGTAGCCGGGGGGGGCTTGCTCGTTCTGCGCAAGGCAACGCGCAGCCTCCGGGAATGGCACCGGACCTTTCTGATGGGCAGCTTAGCAACGTCTATGATCTTGTCCTTTTTACTCGTGCAGGCTCAGCTGGGCGGATCCGGACCCTACCGCTGGGCAATGGACTGGATAGTTTCAGGGCACCTGCGCTTGCAGATGGGTTATCTAGTGGATCCTTTGAGCTCTATGATGCTTGTACTCATCACTACGGTGGGGTTAGTTGTCATGTTATACAGCCACAAGTATATGGCCTATGACCAGGGATACGTCCGCTTTTTTGTTTATCTTAGCTTGTTCACCGCGTCGATGCTAGGTCTGGTGCTTAGCCCTAATTTGGTCCAAGTATACGTGTTCTGGGAACTTGTGGGCATGTGCTCTTACCTGCTGATAGGTTTTTGGCCAAATCGGTTAGGAGCTGCTAAGGCCTGCCAGAAAGCGTTTGTTACAAATAGGATAGGAGACTTTGGTCTCTTGCTTGGCATTCTTGGGCTCTACTGGGCTACCGGCAGCCTTGAGTTTGGGGAGATTGCGGAGCGGCTTGCCCGTTTGCTAGCATCTCAAGCACTTGGTCTTTTCTTTCCTACCCTCTGCTGCCTGCTTTTACTCTTGGGGCCGTTAGCCAAGTCCGCGCAGATCCCCCTTCATGTCTGGCTGCCGGATGCTATGGAAGGACCCACACCCATCTCCGCTCTTATCCATGCCGCTACAATGGTTGCAGCAGGAGTCTTCCTTATAGCTCGTATGTGCCCCATCTTCCAGCAACTGGGCACGGTAATGGAGACAATGGCTTGGGCTGGTGCACTCACTTCGCTCCTCGGAGCCAGCATCGCGCTGACACAAACTGACCTTAAGAAGGGGCTTGCTTATTCTACAATGTCTCAGCTTGGGTACATGGTCATGGCCATGGGAATAGGGTCTTACGAGGCGGGTCTCTTCCATCTTGTAACCCATGCTTATTCCAAAGCCTTGCTCTTCTTAGGGGCCGGCTCCGTTATTCATGGCATGGAACCTTTAGTCGGGTGGGATCCCGCCAAGAGCCAAAACATGCTACTAATGGGAGGTCTTAGGAGATTCATGCCAATCACAGGAACCACATTTCTTCTTGGCACCCTATCGATTTGTGGTATCCCACCCCTCGCATGCTTCTGGTCCAAGGATGCGATATTGGCAGGGGCCTGGGCAGCCCACCCTATTCTATGGACAATTGCTTGGACCACAGCGGGTATGACAGGGCTATACATGCTCCGCATATACCTGCTCACCTTCGAAGGACGCTTCCGGGGAGGGTCACTACTGCCTTATCGGAGTCATCAAAAGGCTAAGCCTCAAGAAGATGGAGGTATGACGTCATGCCTTCTCATACTCGCCCTGCCTACCGTGGCAATTGGTTGGATGAATACTCCTTGGTTTCATCTCGGGCCCGGCCCATCTCCGAGTCTGATTGCATTTAGCAGCATGGCAGTAAGCTCAGTTGGGATTGCTCTGCTGGGAGGTTGTGTGGCTTTCTTAGCCTACCAAAGGGCCACACTTGGACTCAGCGGACTTTCTTACCAATGGCCACAGCTCCACCGTGCCTCTTATAATCGCTGGCACATCGATGAAATCTACGATAGATCATGGGTGCGAACGAATCAGATCTTAGCTGAGAGAGCATCTGCCTTAGATAGCTGGTGGATTGATGGTGTGGCGAATGGGGCTGGACTCATAGGGCTTGTCTCAGGTCAAGCGAACAGGGCTTGGCAAGGGGGCAACTTGACCTACTATGCGTTGAGCATGACCATCGCGCTAGTAAGTCTGCTTGCCATAGTCACTTTTTCAACTCTCCCCTAATCAGCCATTAGGATCCTTCTGATCTGTGAACAAAAGCTT